GGTTCAGCCAGTACTGAAGAGGCCGCATACAGAGCAGGCCCAGCTGTAGTACTGGAGACGTGGAGACCATAAGACCTAGCATCTTCTGAAAGCCTTGAGGGGGCGAGAGACTCAATTCAATTCAATTCAGTTCAAGTTTATTTGTATAGCGCTTTTTACGATACAAATAGTTGCAAAGCAACTTTACGGAAAATTAAGTTTCTACAATATTTAGTAGTAGCTTATCAGTGGTGACTGTCAGTTAATGTACATATGGCAGAAATGTACGGAAAAATCAATTAAAGACGTAATCAAACAGACGATGAACACTATTAACAGCAATTATTATATGATGCAATATATATAGCGTTTTGTCTGTGATTTCAGAGCTCAGAGTGGAGATTCCTGCAGAGATCATTGAGGGAGAATCACCTGTTTTATTTTGTAAGACCACCTGTGACCTCTCAGGTAAAACAGAATTTACTTGGTATAAAAATGGCAAGAATTTATCCGAATCGATCGGCTCGAATCAGCTGTTGCTGCAGTCGGTCAGCAGTGATGATACGGGGAACTACAGCTGTGCAGTGAGAAATCAGAAACATCTGCCGTCTCCTGCTGTCTCTCTCAGCGTCAGATGTACGTCAAGACTTGATCTTCATATTAACAAAATTCAGTCCAAACTGATCAAATGAAGGACTGTGAGAAGTAATCCTTACTTTTTTTCAGATCCTCCAAAGAACGTCTCAGTGTCCATCAGTCCATCTGGTGAAATAGTGGAGGGAGATTCAGTGACTCTGAGCTGCAGCAGTGATTCAAACCCTCCTGCTCTGAACTTCAGCTGGTTTAAGGAGAATCAAAGCTCAGCTGTTGGATCTGGACAGAGTTTCAGTGCACTACAGAGTGGACGCTTCTACTGTGAGGCTCACAATCAATCTTGAACTCCTCCATTGAAGTCGGCATGAAATAGAAGTTGCGACTAAAAAGTGATTCCGCTTAACAAACAAGACTTTATTTGATCAATCGTAAATATATATATATATATATGGATGGATGGTTCACAGTAAGATGCGTTAAGAAATAAATAGGGTCAATTTTCATTTTTAATTTGTGTTGAAATGTGACCGTGTGCAGTGACTTTAAATGCATACATTTGTGTGAGAAACAGGAAGTGTAACTAAGAGCTGTAAGCAAGCTAAGCAAAATATTAATTTCTGAATGGAGGAGAGGCTGCATTTCGCTGAAGCTTAAGCTTACCATTTAATGAATCGACATCCTATCGGCTAATCTTTGCCATTATATGTTCGTTTTTCTCAAAGCAAACTTGTTTCACATATTCTCACACAAATCTTTAACAATTGTGGGGATGATGCTTTTATTTGCCTTTAAAGGATGCATGCATGTTTTTGAGCTCTTCGTGTGTTGTTTGAAACTCTATATTGTATATATTTCTAAAGGTGAATTGACTTGTTGAGAAGAGGGTGCAAATACAGAGAAAGAGGAAGGCCGGCGTTCATTTTAGATGTGATACTCATTAATAGTTCAGCAGTGTAACACTCCCCGTCATGCCGCTGTTATCATTTGTTATCTGTGACCATTCACAGTGAGACAAGTTTATACTATGTTATAATTGTGTAGAAAGGATTGAGTAAACAATAAAATAAAGTATATTGTGTGTTTGGTGAATGTTGGTTTGGTTTATTATATGAGTTGAATAACTTTTGTTGATCCTGTATGTAAATACGAGTGAAGCTCTTTAAACCAGTGCTTCTCAACCGGGGCCCACGGGCCACTAGAGGGCCTCAGTGATCCTCCAGGCCTGTAGTAAGTGTGCAGTCGGGTCAAAGCTCCAAGGTTCTGCTCAAACAACTGTTGTGAAAGTAAAGGGGTACAAAAATGGAGGTACACAAGCTTTTAAGTTTCTCCTGTAGGCCACTACTGAATAAAACGTAGTTATTTTGTGATATTATAAGCAGAGTTGTTCAAGTTGAGGTGGTGGATGTATGCCAGAAGTATTGTAACGTAAGTACATTTATCCTCAAGTTGTGATTGACAGATTTTTTTTCCATTTCACTTTGTATTTATGTGGCATATCTAGAGTGATTTGTTACATGAAGATAATATTCACAAATGCTCTACACTGAAGGTGTTGCATGCTGCTCACAACCTTTGCAAAGGCAGCACTAAAAACGGAAAGATAAAGAGGAAGCGACACAGAAGTGTTATGTTCTCCAGCGGGTGTCACACCTTTAGTTAAGGATTAAATCTATTAAGTAAGCCATATGCATTCTGAACTAAACACACACACACACACACACAAAAACGCGCGCACACACACACACACACATACATACACACACACACACACACACACACATTCACATTATAAGTGAATTCAAATTTCACATTCAAATTTGTAGTGGGCTTTTTTCACATTTGTAGCAGGTGCCTGACTTTACAAAAGTAGTAACATAATAGAGTTTATTGAGACACAGACAAACATAAGTGCTAATAAATAGTATATTACTACTGTTTCTCTTCTGTTGATGCACTGAGCAGCCATATTGGATTCTGAAGTTGGAGTTGTTGCGATTCCTCCAAGATTCCGAGTCGGAACTCCGAAAGGGAGAGGGTGTTCCAGTTAAAAGTTCATACTGGGAACTTGGAATTTCCAACTTCTGAGTACAAATGGAAAGCAGCATCAGTCAGTGTGGCCACTAGAAAGCTACAACAACAACAACTGGAATGTGAAAATAACATTTATTTCATTTATAGTTGATTTTCTTCTTAAATGATGAGCACTAATGTGCTTGTAAAAAACAGAAGAATTGGGAAAAGCTCATGTCTAAGTCAGGTAAAAACATGGTAATTGCTCATTTGTTTGAGTGAGTTGAAAATCATACTGAAGGTTTAAATCTGTCTTGATTTATATATATATATATATATATATATATATATAAAGTGATCTGATTTATCAGGGTTTGCTAAAGGCCCTCATCTTCTCATTTCTGTGTTTCAGGGGTTGATGGTGCGTATATGTGTTTGCATTATTGGTCTTATCAGTAAAAACATTTTTTGGTTTGGTTTGTTATTTCTCATTACACAACAGTTCGTTCTGGTTCTCAAATCTGATTGGTACTGGAGATATTGTACTGGTATCGCTACAGGAACGCCCTTTTACAATTTTGTATCACTCCACTTGTTCTAGCCGGGTCTATGTTTTTTTTTAAATTATTCACTGAGCTAATCGTAGAGTACAGTACGTTAGTTAATATAAGAAGAAACGTCTAGCTTCGCGGTCTCTCTCTCATTTGGATGCACGTCTTGCCGCATTGTTTCTCTCTTATGTGGTCATTAGGTCAAAACCTTTAAAAAAAAATTTTTTTTTTTTTTATAATTTCAACATACATGTTACTTGGAACTCTTACAACATCATCATCATCATATGATAAGAGAGAAAAGAGATAAAAGGACAATGCAACATGAACAATGTCAATTGTTAGTTAGTGCTGTTTATCAGTGTGTTTTGTTTTACAGTGGTTGAATCAGGATCTTATTCTACAGTTTCTTTTACAACAGCTGAAACTCTAGACATTCATGACACTGACATTTAGTTTCTCAGCAGAAAGATTGTTATCTTACTAGCTCACACCTATGTTAATGTATCTAATGATCAGGGAAGTTCAGTGAGTGTGTGTGTGTGTGTGTGTGAGAGAGAGAGAGAGGAATACTGAGAAACAGAGGAAGGTTAGCATTCACTGTGCTCTTGTTAAGCTGATGGTTGATTTATATTTCAACGTTGACAAGATTCAGTCCAACACGGTAAGATCATTTTACCTTTTTTTTTTTGTATTTACTGTATGAGATGGGACAGTGTTGACTGAGGCATATGCAAAAGTCTTTTGTAATTGTTGGTTCACAGAGCCCATTTAAATAATAAGTGGTACTGTATGCAGATAAAGCTTTATCTCATGTCATAATTTTCAGTTTTATGATTGCGGAATTCACTATGTTGACGTCTGTCATGATGTCTCTTCTAGTGATCATCACTGCAGGTGAGTGTTCATAGTTTAAGAGTCACTACAGGGATATTCACTGCAGAGGATTCATTAGCGAGCAAGTGATGTAATGTTAAATTTAGCCAAATCTTTTCCTGTGAAGAAATAAACTCGTCTACATCTGGGATGGCCCGAGGGTTAAAGGGATAGTTCATCCAAAAATGAAAATTTTATGTTTATCTACTTACCCCCAGGGCATCCAACCTCATGCACCGGATGCCGTGTGCGCACTCAAAGACAGTTGGACATAGTGGCGTATTAGAGGTAAAAAATGAATCCCTTTAATTGTCAGCAAATTTTCATTTTTGGGCAAACTATTCTTTTCAAAGCCTGACTATTGAAAATGTCCTGTTCTCTAACTTCTATTCCTGGTTATGAGATCAAACAGTCAATTGGACTAAACTTACTGTAACTGATGGAGAACCACCTGACCTGTGTTCAGACCCAGAATATAGAGGAAGAGTTCAGTGAATAGAAACACTTACAGAATCACTTTGTTGAATGTAACAGAAGCTGATGAACACATCTACTGCAGAGATGCAGTAAACGAAGAGAAGTGGACTTTAACAGGGACTCCTGGAGCTCAGCTTAAAGTCCCCATGAAATCAAAATGAAAGTTTTTTGGGTGTTAGTATCAATATGTTAGTCTTAAGGTTATCTATAAGGCAGTGTGCTCCAAAACAGTGACAAAATTCGCATTTAGGAGATATAAGCATTCAAAGCTTGCAGTTCGTCACTTCCGCCAAAACGGCTCAACGATTTTTTTGACGTCACATCGTACTTCAGCTTCTCATCAAACTTTGTCCAATCAAATGCTCTCTAGAATCCGAAGCGGCCGCCCCTACACTATAAAATAGACGCTGAAGCCACGGTTGAAATCGGTCACTTGTCCACAGAATTAGTATTTTCTGTACAGTGAATGGCACGTAGTGCACTATATAGGGGACAGGGAACGATTCAAACAGTGTAACTATGCTTTCCATTGAGGAAAAAAAGTCGTCTGGTTTCGCGCTGTGTCACGCTAACCATCGCACCGCACACACACTCTGCTCCGGTCCAGAGACATGATAGCACGGAGCGGATCACATGCGCGAGTCGGCGCAGACCACAAAATGTATCGGAGCTATTTGAATTCTACACAGAATGCTATATTTTATAGCAATATGGATGAGATTGTGGCTGGCATACCCTGTCAAATGCGGCTTTAAGGAGCTCAACGGCTCTGAACGGCTCTATCCCAAGCTATGATGTAAACGAACGCTATTGGCTATTTTAAAAAAGGGCGGGGCTGCTTGATATGTCCTGCCCTGTCTTCCTGTTTCAGTTAAAATGACGTCAACACATCGAGTAACGCTGCGTGTTTCTAAGCATTTCAGGGGACCTTTAAGATATATTATTTCTAAGTAGACTCTGATAATTTCATAAGTGAAATATGTTCAAAGTATTAATATGTTCATGTTAAAAATATTAGTTTATAAACTGAATTGGCCGTTGGCTAATTTAAGGAAGTCGGTTTCTAGAAATGAAGAGTTTCAATTTAATCCATGGTATATTTACAGTAAAATACTGTAAACTAGACTACAGTAAATAACTACACAATTAACAGTTAATTACTGGCAACAGCGTTGCCAGTATTTTACCATTAGTTTACAATGCAAGGTTTTAGTGTAGATGTTTGACCTACAGTAACTAGCTGGCAACAGTGTTGCCAATATTTTACTGTAAAAATGACTGGTAAGGTCTAACAGTGTACCTCACAAAGGATGGGCCTTTGTTTCAGACTGCACACCTGTCGGAAAAGATGGACCATTTAAGGGCATAAAGGCGCCTTGTAGATGGTGCCAGTCCAAACGAGGAGGCGTCTCTCCATCCTGTAAACTTTTGTATTTCATGCTGCTATGAGGACCAATGGTCACGTACACGCATGCAAAGCTTTGGGAATGACATCCACATATAAATGCGGGATTCACTCTCAAAAATTTGCAGTGACTGACATATTGATAACCATATCACTGGACGAGACAAAAATAGATTTCAGAATAGATGTGCATTAAGGCTGGAGCACCATCACGAATCTCAGAAGCACCCTCAATGGTTTAATTCTGGAAACTAAGCCTGCTGGTCTCCAAGATATCGGCATCAGCATCAACCAACAACAACAACAACAAAAACATATTGGTCAACCACTAATTTTCACCTTTCTGATTTCATCACTCAAATTTCTTTTGATTTCTATTTAAAAATGCACTTCAGTAATTGTTAATAACAATAATGGAAGTTCATGTTATAAATAAAATAATAATTCACATATTTGACATATAGTTCACATAGATTCTCCACAGAACGTCTCAGTGTCAATCAGTCCATCTGGTGAAATAGTGGAGGGAGATTCAGTGACTCTGAGCTGCAGCAGTGATTCAAACCCTCCTGCAGATTTCACCTGGTTTAAAGGAGGACAGTATGCTGGATCTGGAAGAATCTACAGCATCTCAAGGATCAGCTCTGATCACAGTGGAGAATACAAGTGCAGATCCAGAAATAAACATGGAGTGAGATATTCTGATGTAGTGATACTGAATGTGATGTGTAAGTGAACATTGGTGCAAGAACTGAGAACAGATCCTCTAGTTCCAGTGTGTTTTCTTATTGCTGATGAGACATTTCTATTTTATTCTATTTTATTAATTCTATTTTAGATGCTCCAAGAGATGTTGTGGTGGCCCTTAATTCATCTGCTGAAATAGTGGAGGGAGATTCAGTGACTCTGAGCTGCAGCAGTGATTCAAACCCTCCTGCTCTGAACTTCAGCTGGTTTAAGGAGAATCAAAGCTCAGCTGTTGGATCTGGACGGAGTTTCAGCATCTCCAGCTTTAACTCCAGTCACAGTGGACGCTACTATTGTGAGGCTCAGAATCAACATGGATCTCAGAGATCAGAGTCTGTATCAGTCTCTGTTAAAGGTATTCACTATAAACTCTCAGTTTTATCTGTCTCTATAGTGTGAAATAATCTTCATGAACATCTTGTTTCAGGGGTTCAGAGAGCTGCTCTGCAAACAGTTACTGGGATTGTGGCGGGATGTGGAGGACTGACCTTCATCATCATCATCATTGTGTTCATAAGGTGAGTGAAGTTTGTCTGGACACTAAATGTAAGTCTTTTCAGTAAATTTAAAACATCTGCAAACTTTATCTCACATCTAGAGAAAATTGACTTTTTCTTGCCTTTTAGTATTTTTTATTTATTTGATGTATTTTAATAGTTTTCTCCTGTTTTCAGTAGGAAGAGGCGGAGAGAATGTGGAACTGAAGACGTGAATCAAAAGCAGGCAAATACACACCTCCATCTACAACTGCAATATTTGATGATATTGCTGCACTGAGCTATAAATAAAAGACAATCTTTCTCTATAGACGGCTGACTCGAGTGATGATACATACACAGCTCTGGATCCAGTGTCCAGAACATCTGCTGACATTTACAGCACGATCAGAGTCAGTAAATGTCTCAAACACTTTTTACACTCACGTTCAGCAGATCCATATAAACACAGGCTGTTCTGGTCATCTGTCTCTCACAGTCTGGTGACTCCAGAGCTCCTGATGACACCTACACGGCTCTCCAGCTTCAGTCCAGATCTTCTGAATATGAGACTCTAGCAGGAACTTCAGCAGATCCACGTTAAACTCTCCTCACAGTATTACTGCTCAGATGGAAATACTGATGCTCCTCAGAAACTCATAAATACCATATTTTGATGCTTACTTCATTATCAATAATTTTCTTAAACCTTCTTGAAGTAACAGTGTATACTGTAATCGAGCTTATAGCAGTTTGCAGAATTTTTTTTTTTTTTCAGTCTTTCCTATATTGTACATTACACATTTTCTTTATATTTGTGCTGCACTCGCAAATGCATTTTAACCTGTGTATTTCTGGTATTTAAAGTAACATCGCAATAATGTAGTTTAGTGTAATTGAAAGACCCCATTTATGGTTTCTAATGATGTTATTTTCAAGCAGCGTTGTCTAGTTAAACTCTGGACAATTGTATTAAAGTCTCTAGCTGCTCTTATGTCTGAGTGGATTTTGTTCTACTGCATCTTTATTGAAGTAACCTAATAAAGTTTGACATCCAACGTAAGCATTTCTCTCGTATCTTCCGTGTTTTTAATCATTAGTGATAGTATTATATATTAGGATATAAGGACAGAAGGAAAGAAGTGGTGAATATGAATACTGAGAATGGAAATAAACAGTACATGTTTTGGGTCTGTTTTGAGTTGCTATCTACATAATAATATTTCTGGTTTCATGATTTATATTATCAATAGTTTGTATAATCCTACAGTTTATTTCTAGTTTAATGCTATTTATGAGGAAAGAAAGACACTTTACTGTATCTCTTTATTACTGAATCTCTAGATACGTGATGTTTGAGGAAATCCTAAAGATGTTGCACTGTAAGAAACACTGTAGATGTTGTTACACATCCTCGTCTGTAGATGGTGTGTCTCAGTGACAGACACTCATGCTGAGTATTGCTAAGAGTTTGTGTGAGAATACATTTGTAATATCATTTTTTTATGCAATCGGTTTATAATTGAGTTTAACAGCTGATATTCAATCAGATTCACCTCCAGTATTTTGAATTTTTAGCACAAAATAACCTCATTTACATCATTTGGTCATTTACTCACCTTGCAAAGTGTTATGACGATATGCTTTTGAAGTTTGAAATCTCATTTTATACGAAGATTCAGAAGTATATGTTTGTGTAATATTTGCTGTCACCTCTTTGTTTCTGATCTCATCGAATGAATCATATGATAAACAGATCAAATAAATGCACATACTATGTACTTTTTATAGTAATTACAATAACTGGGTACTATCTCTGATCCTAACCCTAACCCTAACCCTAACCCATGTAATTTCCTTATATCTTCCAGTACTTTCTGAAGCAAGTACACTGTAAGTACAGGTAAGTGCACTCTGTAACATAAAGTGCAACTGAAAAACTACAACGATTGCTTTGATAACTTTTATTGCTCCTAAACTAACTCCTGCAACTGGCAGTAAAATGTGCTTCATCTTTTTGACCACCGGATGACAGAAAAGTGAAAGGAAGTGCAGAAAAGATTTGAGCAATGAATCCCAGTTCTCATGTTTTTGGGAGTTATTCAATAGATCTGTTAGTGATTTTGAAGAGCATTAATTGTTACATGTTCCCCTGTCTTGTGTTTTATTGACTCTTATTTTGAAGTATTGTTCCTATGTTCTGTCTTCCTGTGTTTAGTTCCCCTCATTAGACTTGTTACCCTGTGTATTTATACAAACTCATAAATACCATATTTTGATGCTTACTTCATAAACCTTCTTGAAGTAACGGTGTATACTGTAATCGAGCTTATAGCAGTTTGCAGAAATTTTTTTTTTCCAGTCTTTCCTATATTGTACATTACACATTTTCTTTATATTTGTGCAGCACTCGCAAATGCATTTTAACCTGTGTATTTCTGGTATTTAAAGTAACATCGCAATAATGTAGTTTAGTGTAATTGAAAGACCCCATTTATGGTTTCTAATGATGTTATTTTCAAGCAGCGTTGTCTAGTTAAACTCTGGACAATTGTATTAAAGTCTCTAGCTGCTCTTATGTCTGAGTGGATTTTGTTCTACTGCATCTTTATTGAAGTAACCTAATAAAGTTTGACATCCAACGTAAGCATTTCTCTCGTATCTTCCGTGTTTTTAATCATTAGTGATAGTATTATATATTAGGATATAAGGACAGAAGGAAAGAAGTGGTGAATATGAATACTGAGAATGGAAATAAACAGTACATGTTTTGGGTCTGTTTTGAGTTGCTATCTACATAATAATATTTCTGGTTTCATGATTTATATTATCAATAGTTTGTATAATCCTACAGTTTATTTCTAGTTTAATGCTATTTATGAGGAAAGAAAGACACTTTACTGTATCTCTTTATTACTGAATCTCTAGATACGTGATGTTTGAGGAAATCCTAAAGATGTTGCACTGTAAGAAACACTGTAGATGTTGTTACACATCCTCGTCTGTAGATGGTGTGTCTCAGTGACAGACACTCATGCTGAGTATTGCTAAGAGTTTGTGTGAGAATACATTTGTAATATCATTTTTTTATGCAATCGGTTTATAATTGAGTTTAACAGCTGATATTCAATCAGATTCACCTCCAGTATTTTGAATTTTTAGCACAAAATAACCTCATTTACATCATTTGGTCATTTACTCACCTTGCAAAGTGTTATGGCGATATGCTTTTGAAGTTTGAAATCTCATTTTATACGAAGATTCAGAAGTATATGTTTGTGTAATATTTGCTGTCACCTCTTTGTTTCTGATCTCATCGAATGAATCATATGATAAACAGATCAAATAAATGCACATACTATGTACTTTTTATAGTAATTACAATAACTGGGTACTATCTCTGATCCTAACCCTAACCCTAACCCTAACCCATGTAATTTCCTTATATCTTCCAGTACTTTCTGAAGCAAGTACACTGTAAGTACAGGTAAGTGCACTCTGTAACATAAAGTGCAACTGAAAAACTACAACGATTGCTTTGATAACTTTTATTGCTCCTAAACTAACTCCTGCAACTGGCAGTAAAATGTGCTTCATCTTTTTGACCACCGGATGACAGAAAAGTGAAAGGAAGTGCAGAAAAGATTTGAGCAATGAATCCCAGTTCTCATGTTTTTGGGAGTTATTCAATAGATCTGTTAGTGATTTTGAAGAGCATTAATTGTTACATGTTCCCCTGTCTTGTGTTTTATTGACTCTTATTTTGAAGTATTGTTCCTATGTTCTGTCTTCCTGTGTTTAGTTCCCCTCATTAGACTTGTTACCCTGTGTATTTATACCCCTGTGTTTCGGTCTTTGTTTGCCGGTCGTTGTTTTGCTTATGTGAACTGTTGTGTGTTTTTTGCTTTGTCTGGATTTCTCTGCCTTGTTTTTGCTTTGTTTGGATTCTTTTATCATTTTTGTTAATAAATTGTGCTGCATTTAGATCCTCCCCTCTTCCTTGCCTCAAGCGTGACATTAATACTATCTGCTGTCAGTCTGGTGTGTAAGTGCTTGTGTTGTCTGTCAGAAACTGGCACTGCACTTAAACACCATGTATTTGCTCATGTTTCTGATTGTGTAAATGTGGTTGCATAGCATCGTTGCTTCATAAGTGAAACATAGAGTTTGTGTCAGAAAGAGGATCTTGAATCTAAAAGCTGTAAACCTTCATATATGAAAAAAATCTTGACGCTCCTGCAGCCATGATGAGTATCTTTACAAAGCAACCACGTTTCACATATTCTCTCACAAAGATTTAACAATAGTGAATTCTAAAGCTTATTTGTTTGGATCTGGAGACTTTTCTAGTTGTTCTTGCGTAGTTGAGATGGCGTCACACATATGCAGGAAGTTGTTTAACTGCAGATTTAAGTGTGAAAACTTCCACTGACACATTAAGCTGCTGATATTTTTGTCATTTGGGCGTCGACACTGAGACATTGACACTGCAGCGCGGTAAGACCATTGTTACCATTATTTAACATTAGGTAAAATAATTCTGTAGGGCTACAGCTGATATTTGTAAAAATGTGGTGATGAGTTGAAGATACATGTTGTAGATCCATACCCTGATAGCACACGTACATCACGCAGACGTCTATTTGACATCTGCATTTACATCTGCAAGACGTATTCTTTAGAGTGTTTGCTCATCTGCAATATGTCTATTGGACGTTTCCAAGCAGATGTCAAATAGACGTTATAAAAATGTGTTTAAGATGTTTATATGTTTATATATATGTTTATATATAGATGATGCTCATAATGTCATACCTGTCAGTTTTATGATTGCAGAAATCACTATGGCGACATCACTCATAACATCACTTCCTCTGATCTTGGTGATCATGACCGCGGGTGAGTCTTCAGCTACAGTCACTATACAGACACTTTAACACTCTTTGAAAAGCTGATCGAGCTCTTCACACTTTGTAGCTTTTATAGTGACATGAGTGTTTTGCTGTCAGCTAACAAATAAAAATGGTTAATATGAAAGACACTTTTTGTGCACTGGTTCAAAACACCTGAAACACCACCTCATTTTCTTATATCTCTGTTTCGTGTTTCAGATGTTGATGTTCTGCAGGATTGGGGAGTGAATTACAGCCCTTCATATGTTTGTGCATTAAAGGGATCAACAGTGAAAATGTCCTGTGCTTTAAAATATCCTAGTGGTTATGAGATTGAAACAGTCTTCTGGACCAAACCTGCTGTAACTGATGGAGATCTACCGAACCTGTGTTTAGTTCCAGAAAACAGAGGAAGAGTTCAGTGTGTCAGAGAAAATGAAGACACTCACAATATCACTTTCACAGATGTAACAGAAGCTGATAAACACATCTACTACTGCAGATTCACTACAAACAGAGGAACATGGATGGGGATTCCTGGAGCTCAGCTGGATGTCACCGGTAGTGAACTCTCAGAAATACACCACAGACACAATGTCAGTGGCGCAAAAACGGGGTATGCAGTATATGCAGTGCATATGGGCGCCACACATAGGGGGGGGGGGGCGCCATTTTGCCAAAATCATTCTGTGAAAATCTTCTTTAATAAAACGTTAAAAATAATCAAAAGCGTAGTTATTAAAAATAATGAA